CGCAACCAACTGTTAGAAATTCCGTCGCACCAATAGAAGCACTCAAAGCGGCGATAAGAGCCGAAAGGGAAAATATAGCATCTACTCTCGCCGAAGCAGTTAGAGCCGCCTCACGAAATAAAGATACCAGTGATAACACGACCGACGAAACCACGAAGCCCGAAGGATGCCGCAACGAGATCCCAACGACAATTCCTGACGAGACCCAGGACAAGAAACCTTATGACACACCCCACCCGATAGAGAAAACCGAACGACCATGGGTAAATGCGACCGACGCAAGCACAAAGACCGGAGAATGCCACGATGAAACCCCGATGACCATCGATGAGGAGACGCCAAGAAGAGAGGACAAAATACCAAGGACAATAACGAATGAACACCCAGAGAAGATGACGACGACCGGCAAGATTGTGAGAGAAAACACAAACGGTGATGAAGCCCAAATAGTCAAAAGAGATTGGGAGGACGACGATGTGAAAGAGACTGCGAAACCCACCTGTGATGAAGCTCTGATGAACGAATACCCCGAAATAACGACTACAGGGAATGACGACACAAGGGAGGTGGTGAGTAAACCGGAAGAAGACGGCGGATTAGCACAGGACGCGGAAATGGAGCATCCGCAAGAGAAAGCGAGGGACCGACCGGAAGACGTGCCGACATCTGACAAGGCGGAAGGGAGTCTTGACGAGAAGATGTGCCCCGAGCCGCAAAGAGAAGTTGACCACGTGGAAAGGGTTGGTGAAGCTGTTCAAAGGATCGATGCAACGATCAGAAATCAAGAGCTAACCCGTGACGAAGTATCGGTTGCTCGCGACTGCGCGAAGCCATGGGTGAATGCTAGAACCACGATGCCCGGAGTCAACGAGACGAGCAGCCACAGGACCGAAGCGGAGGACGAACCGGAAAAAGATGAGAAGAAAGCAGTAATAAACCACGAACGAAACGAAGAACGTTTCGAAGAAAGAGAAGAGCGAACGAAATACGAGCCGCGACAACATGCCGATAGGAGCGTCCAAGATGGAAGCGATGGATGCTTGGAAGAGACCACATTCTTGTATGATAACTCGCCCGACGAATCGCTTAGCACTAGAGAACGACTGGCCTTCACGGATGATCATGATCAGGGAGAAGGATACAACGCCACACGAGAGAAACTCGCTAACGACGACCCAGAT